GAACAGCCAGCACAAAGCTATTCAACATAATGGGCTACCTTAGGAGGTGAAAGCACCTGGTGCTTGGAAGCATTAGAGCAGCGGCTGAACAACAACTTACATTTCCACAGCACTCTGCAGTTCACAGGGTGCTTCGCCCAAGGTACTTCACACAGGTTATTCCAATAATGCTCTCAGCTTGAGGCATTTTCACCTCCGTTATACAAATGAGGAAACTGAGACCTAGAGAGAGGAATCATTTCCCAAAGATGCCCCACTAGAAAATGGCAACCAGAATTTGAACCCAGGTCTTTTGGAGGCATAATATAGAGCCTTAGAGCCAGACTTCGGTTCCAACCTCAGCCTAACGTAACAAGTAATCAAAAAAAACCCCACCTATCTTCACCCCCTACCAACACCTTTCCAAACCCAAGGTGCCCACAGCTGCCCCAGCACTGGCCCTACAAGGGGACTGGTCACTAGGAGAAGAGTGGTCAGGCCTGTGTCCTCAAACTCCCAGGTCCATGTGGCTGGCAAGCCCTGGTTCCCTGCAGGGAACCCCAGGAGCCAGTCCTGCACTCCAGCCCATGGTGCCTTCTCAAGCCGGACAGGCTCTGCCCCCTGCCTTCCTGCCTGTGAGCCCCAGGGCCGGGGCTTTCTTCCCTTCTCTTCTCTTCCTCTCTCTCTCTTCCTTGGTGTTCTCCTTCACACACAACTAGCCATGAAGGCAAACACAGTTCCCCAGCAAATTCTGCTGCTGTGTTTTGTCCTTTGTGTCTAAGATGTTTGCTGTTAATCTCAGGAAGCTGTACAAGCTCCAGAATCTCAGTCATGGTCCCTGACTTCCCTGAGGGGGTGATGACAATAACAACAGCTGACATTTACTGAGTCCTTACTATGTGTTCAGCACCGTTCTGAGGGCTTCTTTAATCCTCACAACCACTTTATGCGATATGTACTACTATTAACCCCATTTTACAGATGTGAAAATTGAGTCACAGAAAGGATAAACTGGGAAGCCTTGTTCGACTCTCACCTACCTCTGCTTTTAACCCTGAGAGTGGGACCCACCAAACTGTCACTCTGCTTCCTACCTCCCAAGAGCAGGTGTCCCTCTTGTCCAAGAAGGCTGTCTTTTCAGCAGAGGCAACTGGAGATGCCTCCAACACCATCCATTCTACCCCAGAGAGCAAAGCCATGAGGCAGGCTGACCGCTCCCATCTAAGAATTTTTAAAACTGAGAGAGCACAACATCCTGACAGATGGGGGCAGCCCCTCCCAGGCGTGCTGCCCAGGTACAGACCATTTCATCACAAGAGAACTCTCCTTGTGTGGTTAGAAGGCTGCTGGAGAGACATTAATGCTCCCAGGAGGGAGGGCTATGGCTGAGCTGACTTAATGAACCCAGGAGCTCTCCCAACTCAGGATCAATCATCCCAATGACCCAGATCCAGTCCCCCTGTCTGATTAGAGTGCATTGCCTAGGGGAAGCAATTGACATATGGATTGGATGAAAGTGTTATGGTTCTTTCAAGAAAAAAAGAAAGGAGTGAGGAAACTAACCAGCTGATCTACCCCAACCATGGAAGAGGGGTGGTGACCCTTCCACCGAGCCATCTTGTCCTAAGCTTTGCTTCCAGACAAACTGAAACCATTGGTCTGTCCCCAAGGTAAGTGAGGAAGGCTGCTATGTTCATCATGCACTCAGGTGCCAGCATCTCCACAGAAGCTCTGCAACCCATCACCCTGTACTCCATGTCAAGAAGCACTGGCATCCCAACCTGAGCCTGAGCGTCAGAGAGAGCATTGCTGGGAGCCTCTCAACTGTCTCACTAGTCTCATTGACTCTGGAAAGGAAAAAAAGGAGCTACTGGACTCTCCAGGTAATGAAAACTTCCCAGGGAGGTCATGTGGGGCCCCATGGGGGAGGAGGATTGGGGTTTTGAGGACAGTGCCCTGCTGGGCCAGAAAGGGGCGTCCTAAACCCTCTCAGAAGAGATGCCACCGGATCTTCTAAAAGCACTGACAACCATCAGGTGATAGGCTTGACGGAGACAGAGTAAGGTAACCCCAAAGACAAGAGCTGGGGTTTGACCCAGCATAAGAGAGACTTTCTAACCCACGATGGAGCTAAGCACCCTACTCTGTGTATGTCTGTGTGTGCATGTGTCTGTACTTCCCTGGAATGTGCCATTTGAAGCAGAATCCCCAGCCATTTCCTCTCCTCTCACCTGATAAAAAAATGTTGGCAGCTTCTAAATTACAAAGACTCATATTTACAAATGTCAGCCATCTCCCCAACCCTACTCTGATGTGCAGCGTGCTCATGACAGCGAGGCACCAGCACCTTCCTTTTCTTCTTTCAGAGTAACAGTGGTATGTCTCATTTAAATTAAAGCTCCCATTTCAAGGGACTCACTTACTAGAAACAAGGTCATTGCCAATGTGTGTGCTGGCCCCTGTGAACCACCAGCTTCTGGGAATGGAACATCAAGAATGCGTTGTTAATGTTTCCAAACTAAAGAGACCTGGGAAAGAAGGGTGGGCCTGTCTTCCTTTCACTGCAGTCATTCATCATGGCAAAGTGTCACATCGCCTTTCCCTCAGCATTCTGCATGACATACCTGCTAGAGAGGGCAGATTCCATGGGGCAGGCAGGCAGGGGACGTAGATAGGGAATGCAAGAGGGAAGGTGGAACAAGGGACTTTCCAGTTCATCAGGACACAGGTGATGGCAGGTACTCCATTTTGTAACCGCCACTTTCCCTTCTCCCCCAAGAAAGCTGGTGGTGGGGCCAACAATCCTCTCTCGGCACCCATCCCCACTCGAGCCCTATCCTAGGCTCTCCAGCCTCCCTCTGGAAGTGGCCAACTCTCCACCCGAGGCACATGCCATGGAGTTGCCGGAGCAGAGGCAGCCGCCTGCTTCATCCCTGGGGTGTGGATTCAGGCTTAGAACTTTTAACCAGGAAAGATGTGGGACCAGAAAGGACCTGTTCAGGTGACAGAGCTTCCAGGTGTCAGAGCCAAAAGTAAGCCCTGGCGTCCTAAGGCCAGGGTTATTTCCCCATGCTCCACACTGCTATTTTGTGTGGTAGGGGTTTTATTTTATTTTTTGTGGTGGAAGGGTGTCTATCATGCTTCTCAGCACTGCTCTCTTAAGAGTCAATAAACATCTCACAACAGAGCTTTGGGAAATCGTCTGCTCCTATGTTAGGAAGGACCCATACTCCACCAATAAAGAGGGAGAGAATGAAAACAGTGCTCCTTCTTTTCTTATACTTGCATAAAATCTCCAGAAGAAACTTGTAATATTTGTTACCCTAGGAAAAGAAAAGCACTAGGTTCACAGACCCAGTGACTTTTGTACCATTTGAATACTGAGCCATGTGAACATACAGCTTATTCAAAATAAACACCCTTCTTAAAAAACTCTTTTCTGAAGCCCCAAGTTGGGAGTCAGGACTCTTTGGTTCTGGTCCCACCTCTGCCACACACTGTGCAACTTGGGGCACCTTGTGTAACCTCTCTAGGCCATTTCCTCTACTACAAAACATAAGTGGGTTGAACCAGTGATCTGTTAAGGCCCCTGCAATGGACTGAATATTTGTGTGTCCCCCACCCTCCAAATGCATATGTTGAAATCTAATACCATATGCGATGGTATGAGGAGGTGGGGCCTTGGGAAGGTGATTAAGACATGAAGGGGGAGCCTTCATGAAGGGGATTAGTGCCTTTATAGGGGCCAGGGAGACCAGAGTTCCACCATTCCACCATATGAGGACACAGCTAGAAGGTGGCATCTATGGACAAGAAAGCAAGCCCTCACGAGACACCAAATCTACTGGCACCTTAATCTTGGACTTCTAGCCTCCAGAACCATGAGAAATACATTTCTGATGTTTAAAAGCTATCCAGTTTACGGTATTTTGTTATACCATCTCAAACAAAGACAGCCCCTTTAAACTCTTAAGGCCCATGATTCGTTTCCCCAGCTAGACTCTGAAGTCCATGAGAGGAGGGACAGTTTTGGAGTCAGTTCCTTCGAAGACCTTAACCCAGGAAGGTTTTGTTCTCCCAGCTAAAAGCCATCCCCTTCCTAGAATCCAGGTCTTCAGACAAGCTGGCCAGGACCACTGTGTGAGTCCAGAAGACAGGAGATGCTGATATAGGGAGAGAGGTTAACAGAACTCAGCTTTCAGAGACATATGCATCTGGGTTCAAATACTGAATTATTAACTGTGTGACCTCAGGCTATAGTGATTTAACCTCTCTGAGCCTAAATCTCATTTATAAAATAAGAATACCAACTTCGTACCGTTAAGATTATAAGCAGTACCATATGAAAAGCACCTGGTATACAGAAGGCATTCAACAAATGCTGACTTGCTTGCTTCCTCCCTCCCTCTGTTCCTTCCCTAGTAAGTGGCTAGGACACTGGGCTGGATTCTTTTGTATGTTTTTGTCTTTAACTTGGTTTTCTTATGCAAATCCATGAAACATGGCCTTCTTGGTTCTCCTAGCAATTTTGTTGCTACAAATCCAAGATTGTATACAGGCTGCTCACACCACTGGAGCAGGAAAAAGGCCATCTAATTTTGCCAGTTTAGGATTTTGGGGGATTTAATTTGTCTGCACAGGAGTGGAAGGAGGAGCCAACTGGCCTTTGGGAAATGGCACTATGGGTCTCCAGTTGGTAGGTGGGGGAGCAGCTAGGAGACGATGGGAGAGATGGAGAATGTCAGCACTTCCAGTGACTGGCAGCGGGGCAGAGGATGCTCTGGGGGTGCGGTGTAAAGAGCTCAGCTACTTTACTTGGGACCCCAAGCACTAAAAAGGTAACAAGGCCTTGGTTTCCTTATCCATAAAAATGAGCAAGAAATATCTACACCGATGTCTACATTGTTGTGATGATTAAATCAGATACCTAGGGAGGTGTCCTATGAATATTAATTTTTCCTTCCTCCCTTCTTCTCAAAGGAGGAGGCAAAGGCTCCAAAGAGGAGACATAGTCACACGACTGCCTTGTAGAAAACAGACCTGCAGAGATTTAATTGATGCATAAAACACAGGATTGTCATCAGAGTTGGTCGTATCACATGAGCTATTCCCAAAGCACACAGAATGAGCCAAAACAACAAAATGGACTTTGTCTGTGCGGTACACTGATGCCTAAAAAAAGAAGGCAATTGGATTTTAGTTTCTTATTCCATGACAAAAAAAAAATGAGTGGTGGGACACTGAGAGTTGGGTTCTATGTGTTGGGGAGGCAAGCTCTCAAGATAAAAAAAAAAAAATGGGGGCATTTTATTTAAACAATGGGACAGATGTTAGAGAACATCCCCTGCTCTCCCCCCTCCCTCCCCCCACACCCCCCGCCAGGAGCCTGCTGATGGGATGTGGGGCTGCAGGAAGCGGTGCCAGAATGGCAGCAGCTCCAACTGGCACACGGTCCCTTTACCACCGGGGCCAAGCACTGGCCCAGCCCCTCACCCACCAAGCTCCAGGAGGAGGCAGCAGTGGGGTCAGGGGCAGGAGCTGGCACAGGTAGAAAAGACAGACGGAAACAAGGATCCATGAATATACACAAGTTGTTCCAGGAAGAGGAAAACCAAGATGAGGACCAGAAGCCATCCCAGTCTTTTCCTGTGGCTTTTTGGCTTCCTGGAGAAATTCTGTGCTTGAGACCTGAGACTAGCTGGGTTCTGGAGAGGAGCCCCAGGAGAGAGGGGGGCGTTCCTGAGCACAGCCCCCAAGGAAAGCACAGTGACGCCAGAGGGAAGAAAGGTGACAAAACATCCCAGGGCCCAGCCTCCAGCAACCTCAGCAGGGCTCTGGGCAGCTGCACCCAATCTTGAGATAGTCAAAAGGAGAGATGGAATGTTCAAGAAGGACCAAAAAAAAAAAGGAGAGAAAATAGAAAGGGTCTGATCTCTACAAGGATGAGGTATTGAAGAGACAGCTGTGAGCCCAGAAGAGCCTGGCCCTGGGTACAGACATTCCAGGGGGCTTTCTCCTGGTGAATTAGGAACCATACACCTAACCTTCCTGGGAGCCCCAAACAGAGCCCTGTAGGTCTAAGGACCAACTCCACTCCAAAGGGATTCCCCTGGCCTCTGAAGGCAGCTCCCCGAATCCCACCCTTCTTTCCAAAGGTGCCTGCGACCCTGATCCCCTTCGGCTGCCGCACATCATTGGTGTTGCCACGTTGACGCAGGAGATCACAGGAAGTCCATACAGTTCAGTCCCATACATTACGAGGTCACACTGTGTGGATTACTGTTTCCAGTCTCCCCATCCTTTTCACCCGCCCCACCCCCAGCCCCCCATGGTCCCTCCAAGTCTTGAGTGGGGCAAGCAGCAAAGGGGACAGGAGACTGCTCTATCAGAGGAAATAAAGTACAGGCAGCTCCTCAGGCACTTGGTCTGGGTGGAAGAGGGGCCCAGGCTGCCTCAAAGCCCACACTTGAGCCTCAGTAGTGATACACCTTCAGCCTGTTGTTCTCATCCAGGCCCAGCTGGAGTAGGTCTGACGTGGCTGTTGGTTTGGGCACTGAGGAGAAGAAATATCTGACCACAAGGTGAAGGAAAACTCTGCGGTCAGCTGAGCATGTCCAGGCAGGGGCCATGAAAGGGTCAAAGACCGAGAAGCGTCCTGTTTGGACTCCCAGGACACAACATGGACCCTGCAGTCCAGCTCAGCCAGCCCTGCTTCTTCAGTAGGCGGGGTTTGAGAATCAGCTAAAAGGATACGACTTGGGGTCATTCTTGAAATGTTCTAGCCACTTCCGGTTAGCCTCGACCATGCTCTGAAAGTTGGTGCTGCCCACTTCAGGGACTTGGGGATGGGGGCGCTGCAGGAGGCGGAGCTGCTCACTGGGAAGAAGGAGGAGAGTGTGGGGAGGGGAAGTAAGGAGGCAGGGGTGGCAGAGTAAGGGGGAAGTGCGGCAGAGCCAACCGGAGGCCATCACACTGCTTCTTCCTTCTTCCTCTCAATGTGCCAGATACAGTCTCTAGCAATTCAGAACTTCCTCCACTGGCAAGAGCTGCCCCTCTGGAAGGATGAGCATCAGTTCCCAAAAGAGAAGCGGGGGGGAGAGTGGGGGGGTGGACGTCCTCTGCACCTTCTGGGGTGCACACTGCTGACACCAGGCTCTAGGGCCCCATATCTACCTATTCCCAGCCAATCTCACCCACAAAAAGCTCCCCTCTGTCAACTCAAACACTTGCCCAGCATCAGCTCCCAAGCTGGCCAAAGGGATGGTGGGAGGTACTTACAGTTGGGGGCCTGAGAGGAGAGGGGATACATTTGGCAATGAATAAGATGAATGGGAAGTTAATAACGGGTTTAAATAATTGCCCATCTGTCTCCCCAACAGGGTACCCCTCTCACTCCAGATGTTTCTCTGCAGGGCTTGGGGAAGAAGGGAGCTGTAGGAAGAAACAAGAGCTCAAGGGCAAAGACAAAGGCCACACTCCAGGGCTGGAGGGACCATAGGAAGGGGCAGCATGCAGGGTCCCACCAGGGGCTTATTTCTCCCCACAGGTGCCACAGGGCAGCTTCCTAGTACAGCTGGCTGGGTAAGCCCAGCTCCGCCCCTACTAGGACCTCAGCGGTGTGGACTTAACTTTTCCTAGCCTTGGAGGGGTGCCTCAGACCCAGGCAAGGCATGAGCAGCTCTGTGCACTGGGGGCCTGCCTAACCTCATGGGCAACAGGAAGGAAGGTCTGCTCCCCTCAGAGGTCTCAGCTGCTCAGGGAGGCACAGCGGGCAGCTTGATTGTGAGGTTCCACTCCAAGCCCACAGGGAGGCTTACCTGGCAGACACATAGCCTAGCCTATTCTCCAGGGGGGAAGGGCTGCCGTTGAGCAATGGGATGCCAGCTGGAAAAATGGGAGGAAATAGCTCAGAATCAGGCAGCAGGTCCACTGAGCCAGCCCCAGCCCAAGCAGGCCACCTCCCTGCTCAGCAGCCACCTTCCCAGAAATGGGTAAGGCAGTGTCCTCAGAACAAACAAAGTAGGAAACGTTTCAGTGGCTGGAGGTGAGAGACAGGTGATAGAAAGGAATTGTCCTATTTATTTTATTTCTAAAACTTAATCTACTTTTCAATTTGGGTTGAGGCAGAAAAAAGAGATTTTTTTTAACTTTTTCATTCAAATGACTGTGTTTTTATGGCTTTTCACACTTCTTAGCAGGGCTATGAAACCAGAAGAGGCCACGTGGCCCAGAGGCCAGGGGAAGCCATACGGCCAAGTAGTTACTAGTGGAATCCTGGAATTACAGAGACATGGAGTCAAAACCCAGTTTGTTACTCACTCACTGGGTACCCTGGAGCATATTAAGTAATTCCCCTCTGAGTCTCAGTTTCCTCATCTGTAAAATGGGGATAAATAATTACTACCTCAGTGAACTATAAGGACTAAGTGAAACAATGCATATAAAATGCCTGGTCCATAATGTATTTCACAAGGTGGCAGCTATTATGCTGATGGTGACAATGACCTTTAGGTTCTGCTGAGCTCTAGAATCCCTACCAAAGGCCCCATCAGCCCAGGCTCCATGTAAACCATCCTGACCCACAGAGCCTCCAGCTGCAGGGCCACCAGCAAGGTCTTCTTCACCAGGGATCCACAGACACAGTCAATGCACCAACAAACCATGCCACAGTTGGGGGGGTGGGGGTGGGCAGGGGTAGGCAAAAGAGGAGGAGGAAAAAAGGAAGAGTAGAAGAAAGCGGGTAGAAGAAAGGGAAGGAAAGGAGGAGGAGGAAGTTGGGAAGGTCAGCCCAGAACCGAACACCAGCCCTAGGGAGGCTTACATGGAAAATACTTGCGCCACTTCTCCAGCAGGAAGTCATCCACTGTTTGAGCCGCCAAGGAGAACCTGGGGTCCAGCCCCGGGTCCCAGGCCCACTGGGTGGACACAGGTGTGAAGAGGGATGAGGCCTGGGAGGAGTAGGTGGGAGCAGGGGTGCTCTTGGAGGTCCAGGGAGAGAACTGAGAAGGTGTGGAAGCGAAGAGCGGCGGTGGCGGCTGAGTGTTGAGGCTGCCCAGCATGCTGAGGACACTGTTCAGCTGGCTGCTGATCTGCTGCAGGGAGCTGCTCAAGTAATGGATCTTGTTGGGGAAGGTGGAACTTGGGGCCAGGTTGACTGAAAGGAAAGAGGCAGACGGTGGGGAAGGACTCGGTTCGAGACCCTGGAACATCCCCAGATCCAGCTGGCTCTACGGCACTCTACTGGCCACCCCTCCCTGTCCCTCCAGATAACAGCCTGTTGGCCTTATAAGGAGGATGGAGGACAGCAAGGCTTCTGTGTTCCAGACAGTGCAGATAAGAAGCTGGCTGAGAGAAAGAGGCTTTCCGGGTGAGGCCCTGGGGAAGGGACCAGGATCCGAGAGAGAAGGAAAGGGAGAGGGCCCTTCCGCCCATCTGCAGGCCAGTGGCAGAGGGAGAACCGGAAGAGAAGAGGCTAACAGAGACAGCTCTCTTGTTGTAAAGTGCTCTGCAGCATTCAGAAGGCTTTCCCTGACCCTTTTGGCCCTGTGCATTAGCAACCCAGATGGCTTCACTCCTTCCTAGCATTTCCTGAGCACCCAGTCCAGACACTGGCACACAGAGACCTACCCCTGCAGGGCTGAGGGAAGGAGACTGTACCTCTGTTCCCCAAGTTCTTCCCTTGTCATGGACACTGTGGGACTCACCCTTGCCTCTCCCTCCCTCACCTCCCTGTTACCACCGCCACTCACTGTGAGGCAGGGGGCAAGATTCAGAACTCTCACTGCTCATGTCTTCCGTGTCACTGAGGTCAAAGGTCACCACCTTCTTGGTGGGGGCTCTTTTCAGAGTGTCCTCCTCTGAGGCCTGACAGGTAGAAGCAGCAGTCACTGGCCCTTCCCGTGCACTGTCTACCCCACTGCCCTTGTGATGTGTGGGGACTGAGGACTTGGTGAGCAGGCTCTTCTAGGGCCCAAAGTCCCAAAAGCACCCTGAGAGGCACATCAAGCAGGCTGCCTTACAGCAGGGTGGAAAGGAAGCGAGGATAAGAGAACCTGACTGCCTGAGATATAGGCAATAGAGCCACCAGGACCAGACAGATCCCACCCTTCCTCCCAGCAAACTCTCCCGGCAGTGTGTCTCTCCACCTAAGCTTCCCTCCTGCCACATCTAAGACTCAGGCAAGCAGCGGAAAGTCCACAAGGTCCCGGGGAAGGCATGCACATCCTTCATGCACATCCATTCCTGACACATGGTCACCCCTCTCCTAGGTGCCATGCAGGGTAAGGACAGGGACTCAGCCCCCTTCTCAGGAAGGGGCTTCTCAGCAGGAGGCTTCAGGTATACTCAGGACCACAGACGTGTTCAACAAACTCAGGGCTGAAGCCACTGCCATTTTTGCCAGCCAGGAGCCCTAAGCCTACTGCCCAATCCTGGGCCCTAGAGGCCCAGCTCCCCCAACAAAGGACCAAAGAACCCAACCCAATTTCAGGAACAAAAGAGGGAGGCCAGGGCCACATTGGCCTATGAGGCCACAGGGCTGCACCTCTTCCCGAAGAGAAGACTCCAGCTGATTCAGCTTCTCCTCTTTCTTTTTCAGGAGGTCATGGCCTTTCCGCATGGCCGACTTCATCTCATCCAGGTGCCTGGTCTCCTGTAGCCAGGAAGAAACAGGAGGAGAAATGACTAACTGTACAGATGGTGGAGTCTCAGCTCTGCCATTTGCTGGCTGGGTGATCTTGAACAAACTCTCAGTCTGGTTTCTCATCTGAAAAAGAGAAATACTTTTCATAGGGTCATGAGAATTAAATGAGATAGGGTATGTTACATGCTTAACACTATTTCCACACCTAATAAATCCTCAAATGGTTACTGTTAACCAAATGGTTATCATCACTGCTCCAACTACCATTACTATCATCATCATCACCACCATCACCATCATTAAGCAATGACAGGGCCTGGGGGTAGCATGTATGTAGCCCTGGGAAGCCTGTCCCTCTGTCTGCACCAACCCCTTGCCCTCTGCTGCCCCCAAGCCAGGCACTGGGGCCATAGGGGCCTGAGCCCCCTCACCAGTTTTGAGAACCATCAGAATTCTAAAGACCCAGCATGATCTAAGAGAGCTCACTCTGCCAGGACCCTCAACTGGTAGAGATTTGTGATCCTAACTAGTAATCTGAAGTCTCTGCTTTGTCCCTGAAATTAGACTATCAGAGTGGCAAAAGAGAAGTAATTCAGTCTCAGGCTGAGTGGGTTCAAAAGACTTTCATTTACGAATGAAGTCTTTAGTGTTACGAATGGAAAAGTAAAGCACTGGATTTGAAATTTTTAAAACCTTAGGCGTACTCTTCACCTAGAAAATGGGAATAATAATACTACCTCACACATTATATATGTTTATTGCGAGAATCAAACGATTTACTATTAGAGAAGGTGCTTGCATACATAAATTGCTACATAAATGGAAGTGACCCCAAGGCCCATGTGGCCACCCTCATGGAGTCCCCAGAATGATCAACTGAGAAACATCCCAAAGGCGAATATTCCGCAGGCTCGCCCAGGCCCTCCGCACCACTGTCCCCCTTCTCCCGCCCCTGGAAGGCTCTCTTGAGGCTCCTGACCTCCTCCAGATTCTTGCGCACATCTTCCAGGGCCTCAGCGCCCAGCAGGTCTTTGGCCACCTCCTTAGCACTGGTCAGCTCATGGCGCCAGTGCTGCTGGGCGGCTTTTAGAGCTGTCTGCCGCCTGCGCATGGAGTGTGTCTGCCGCACCAAGAACTCCTTGGCACTACGAAGGGCTATCCCCTCGGCAGAGAGGTAGTGCCGGACGCTGTGGGAGGACAAGCCAGGGCAGGGGAATTGGAGAAGGAAAAGAGAAGACTCTAAGAGCCCTGCTCTGGGTCACACAGCCACTTCCCCAGCAGATGTCCATCCTAAGCCAGACAGGAGCTGGTGGGCTGGGACTAGGCTGTGTACAGGATGTCACTGTTAAATAACCTGCAGCATGCAGGACTAACACTTCCCCAACCCTGATTCTGAAAGAACTGCACCTGGGACCTCCAGAGAGATGGCCAGACACTCCCAGCAGTCTGATCCTCAACCAGAGGTCAGCAGATGCCAGCATGCTATGTCAAAGGTCACAGTGGGCAGCTTCTTGGCTTGCCAGAGAAGATGCCTCAGTGCTCTGGGCCTCCTTCCCTGAACTAAGCCCCACTGATGATCGCTGTCACCACATTTCAGCTCACCCCAGCTCTGTGATGCAGGCACTCACTCACCCCTATGACTCCAAATAAGATGGGCTATCAGCACTCACCTGTTCAAGGACAAGTCAGTGTCTTCCTTGTTCTGGGAGAGAGAAGGGGGCACCTCTTTGGTCTGGTTCTAAGGACATGAGGCAGAAAAGACCCACTGAGTGCAACATAAGCTCTCAAGCTCCAGAGACCCCGAAGCCCCTCCAAGTAGCCTAGATTAGGAAATAGCTCTGCTAGCTGCCAGGCACTGCTTACTTACAGATATCACTTGACTGGTAGAGATGGTGGGAGATAAGAACAGAAGACTAGGTCCTATATAGGACACACCCAGGGCCTCCACCTGATGCCCCACCCTTCCTGATGCTCCACCCCAGTCCCCAGTCCCCAGCTCACTGTCCCAAGAGATTTCCTCAGGTCCTCAATGTGGAGATCTGGCTCAAAATGTGGGGAAGCATGACTCTCCTCAACTGCCAACTCCTTCAACATGTCCTGCTTCCTCTGAGCTTCAGCCTCCAGGCCACTGTAGTGCGGGGGGGTGGGGGGGGTGAGGCAGGGTCACATGATGCAGCAGGCCAGGCAGCACACTATGGGGACCACCTCCATCCCCTCATTCCTGTCACACTCCCCGAGGCTGGGCTGAGGCATGGACAGTACAACCAGGGATCTCCTGCTTTTCACAGCCTCTTAACACCCCCACTCCCTATGAAATGCAGCAGACACAAGCCCTCCTGTCTGGCTCCCAGGGCAGAACCTCCACCTCTCCCTTAAATGGGTCAAGATTAGGTGAGGTCCATGAGCAGCAGAGGCCAGAGGACAGACAGGAGGCAGCCGGGCTGCTAAGTGCAGATGCCACAGCACCTGACATGTCTCTGCAGTCTCTGACTCTGCATCTGCAGCAGATCCACCTGGGACTCCAACTCCAACTTGTGGGTGCGAAGCTCCTCCAGAACTCTTCGGAGCTGCCGGTTTGACTCCAGCAGGTGCGCGTGCTCCTTCTTTGCCTCCTCCAGGTGCTGATGGGTGGCTGTGACTTCCTGGGGGCGGAAGGAAAGATAGAAGCACCCAGAGACACAGTGCAGAGAAGGCAGGGAGTAGGCAGCACTAGAGGGTAGGGAAGCCAGAAGACAATGGGACAGGAGATGGAACTCAGACCTGCTGAAGTCACAAGGCCTCAGGCTCCTGTCCTCCCACCACAGCCCCACTTCCAGATGTTCCCAAGTGGGGGTCCATAGAGTGGCACTATTTGTAGAATATCGACCAACACAATTTAGAACCCCAGTGTCCTGGACAGATCAGGTGAACAAAAGGTAGGGTTTGGACAGGAAAGAGGGAAGGAAAGAAAGGGAATGGAGGAAAAACAGAGGGAAGACAAGAGGGAATGACAAACCTCACTCTCCAGAGCAACCTGCCTCTGCACATCAAGCAGCTGCTGTTTCTCCTTCCGGGCAGTCTCCTCCTGCGGGGGCAAGAGACGGGGCCCTTTGGCTGATGGCAGACCCCAGATCTGAGGGGCAGGGACCTGCCTCTCCTGGAGGAGCTGTGACTCTCAGGTCAAGAACACCTGCAGATCCTCTTCTCCACCCAGACTCCTCACCTGGACATCCAGCTGAGCCAATCTGGTCTTGACATCTTTAGTTCTGGCTTCAAGTTCCACCTCTAAATCCTGGAGCTTCCTCTCCTGCCCAGAAACATCAGTGGAGGGAAAGATGTAAGTGCAGAAAGGGTGTAAGGCATTAGCCGAGGTGCAGGAGGGGATCAGAACCCACCATGCCACACCACGACCTGCAAGCTGGGCTCAGGCTTCCTCCTGAAGCAGCCCTGCAGCCTCACGCCTTGTTTATTTCCAGTGGGGGCAAGAAAAGGAGAAGGCGCCAACCAACCCCAAGGCCTTTTAGGGGCTGACCTGTCCTTCTAATCCTGGGCACATTCCCTGGCCCAGGAAAAAGGAGCACAGATGCTCTGGCTTGGAGATGGCCAGTGAGAGACCCTCACACCTGAAGCAGTCGGGCTCTGTGCTGCTCTGCTGCAGCATCTGCTGCCAGCACCTTCCTAACCTGCATGGAAGCATCACGGTGGGCTTGCCCCACCCCAGGCCCCTCACCTGCTCCTGGTGCCGGCAATGCAAGTCCTCAAGCTGCTTGTCCTGCTTCTGCCTCACGGTCTCCAATTCCCGGTCATGGGCCCTTAGAAGGCGCTCCAGCTCTCCTGTCAAGTGCCCCAGGAGGTCGGCCCGCTGCTTCCTCTCCTACAAAGAGAGTGGGCCTGCCGGTGAGAAACTGCCATGGCCCCTCACACCCCAAAATCCTAATTCCCCCCATCCCCACATCAGCTCCCTAAGGCCAGCTCCTAAAGAGGAGAAATGGAGCAGCAAGGACAGCACAGTCCCAACCCCTAGGAAGCCTACACCCTCTCCCCCTGCAGCTGAAGCATATGCTGGCCTGACGCCATGAGGGAATCCCCCTTTGGGAGCCTGGCTCTCCCACTGCTCCATCATGTACAACTTTTCCTCCTTAAGGGGAAAGAGGTCATTAATAAATCATTGCTATTCTTCAGCAAGGTCATAGTTGGTTTGGGAAGGGAGTCAGCTAAATTTTATCATGGGACCACTATTTCTGACTCAGAAAAGACTGAAGAAAGAGTCTGGGATGCCAGTCCCAGTTACTGGAGCAGTAACCTAAAAATTCCCCCAGAGAGGGCTGGCTGTGGCCCCTTCACCACCCATTGTTCGCCCCCAAAGTAGAAAAGCCAAGCCAGCTTGGGCCCACTCAAGTAATTGACCTTTCCCACCTTACGGCAAAAGGCTGATGATGGGCAGATTCTAAACATTGCTTAACTCTTGCCCATCTACTTCTTGCTGTCCTGAAATTTCAATTAACCCTGGTGGCATGGTATTAGTGACTAAAACTGAAGGCTTTGAAGTTGGACAACCTAGGCCTGAATCCTAGCTCCTCTACTTATTAGCTGGTGTGATCATGGGAAAGAGACTTAAACTCAGTGTCCTCATCTTTAAAATGGGGATAATGATAGTATTTACTTCCTAAGGCTGTTGAGACAACCAAATGGGTTATAGTGCCTGGCACATAATACAAACTCAATATATGTTAGCTATTGTTGCTTTTAAAATAAAATGCAGACTGGCTGATTCAGAGGAATTACCCGCATTAGGGGGAGGTTTTTCTAAGCTTTAGTAAGAAGGCAAAAAAATGACTTCACCACAGCAGAGTGACAGGGAGGAAAGCCTCCTACCATCCACGCCCACAGTTCCTTCCCTTCCCCTGCCCTGCAGCCAGCTGGGCAGGACCCCAGAGCATGTGTACGCATGCATGCGTGTGTGTGTGTGTGTGTGTGTGTGCACGCACAAGCACCAAGCTACCTTCGCTTCATACTGCTCTCTGGCTGCAGCCACCACTTGCTGGTGCTCCTCCTTCATCTTGTCCATCATCCTCTCGTGTTCCCTTTCCACCTGCTGGCGCTTCTCTCGCAGGAGGCTGCTGAGCTACAGGGCAGATGGCAGGATGCAGCATGCAGGACTGAGGGTGGACCAGCACTCGTGGCCTTGTGCATCTGAAGGACTTACACAGGCCTCCCCAACATAGCCACACAACATAGATACATCACACATACGCAGCACCATGGCACACACACGCCCATACCCCCAGCACCCCCTCCTCACAATCTGAGGGGCATGGGTATGGAGGAGTGCCTGGCCTCATGGGAACCAAGTCACAAAAATGGAAGCAGAAGGGCTAACCCCAGCTGAGCTAGCCAAAGCAAACTGGAGGGCACTTAGGCCAGGATGGCTCAGCAGACTGGAAGAGAGCCCACGACCCATACACACAAACATCGAAGTCACAGACTGGCACCCACCTCTTGTTCATACTCCATCACTTGGTGAACCTTCTGGTGAGCTCTCTGCTCTGCCCACCCAAGGCGCTCCTGCAGCTGGGCCTCCTCTTTCTTTTGAGCCTCCTCTATCTTCTTCTGAAGGCTGCTGGCCACCTGAGGAGGCCCCAGCACAGAGAGGCGAATGTGACCTTCAGGGAGACTGCAGAGTTGCTGTGAAGGGACTCATTCCCAAGGACCCAGCACCCATCCCCAGGGGCCTCGAGGGAGAGGGAAGCTCACTCCTTAGTAGCCAGGGATGGGGTTGGGCTCTTCTGCTAACCAGCATAAAGGGGGTCCTGGGGCCCAGGCTCTGCCCTCTTGGGCCAAGGCCGGCCACATCTCACCTCCTGGTGCTTGGCCTCCAGTGAGGAACGGAGCCGCTCCAGCTCGACACTATGCTCCTTCTCCAGCCCTGCCACCGCCTGGGGAGGAGCAAATGGCCTGTGAGGGAAGCAGGGTGGGGACAACTGGCCTGGTGCTGACCATGGGGGAAAGCAGAGCCAGGAAGACCACCACCACCCCCTGAGATGGGAGCCAGGGGGAATCATGGGCACATTTGTTCCTCTGATATAACTCAGTTCCTATAGTCTGCACATGGAGAGGAACACACAAGCTGAAGCAGAGGGGCATTTCAGTATGCCTCAGGTCACTGCTCCCATCACTGTGAGTCTGGGCTAGGCCACGGGTACACAGACGGTGCTCACAACTGTAAATAAGATACGAGGCAGGGAGGACTGGAAGTTTTAGCACAATCTCTGAGCACTTGCAGTACAATGAAGTCCCCCGATCTTGCTACAGTTTTTCCACACCTCATAGCCGAAGCTCCACTCCTCACCAAAAGAAGAAAAATGTTCTACATGGCCTGTTACTTCAGCTTCTAACCTAGAGACAGACCATCTGAATGGAGGGAGCAGGAGCACAGACAAAGGACAAAACCCTTCTAGGTGGCTAGCCTCTCATTCTAAGACAGGGAGAAAAGTCTCCACTCCTCACCAAAAGAAGAAAAATGTTCTACATGGCCTGTTACTTCAGCTTCTAACCTGGAGACAGACCATCTGAATGGAGGGAGCAGGAGCACAGACAAAGGACAAAACCCTTCTAGGTGGCTAGCCTCTCATTCTAAGACAGGGAGAAAAGTGGGAGATGCAGTCACTACAGCTGCCCCTGAGACAGGGACAGGGTGCCTGGTCTCACGACCTGTGGTCTGGCTCAAGTTCTTTCAGTCTGAAACCTTCCCAAGTCCAGCAGACATTTCTCCTCAAACCTCTGATGGCTCCCTGCCATTGACAACACCCAGCTGCCACTGCCGGTCCAGCCCGATCCCAGAGCGGCCTCTGGACACCTGCCATAGCCTCTGACCCACTGTGGAGACTAGGACCAGCACCTGCCCTGAGCCAAGTTGGGTCCCGTGCCTGTCAGTGCAGGACGCCCACTCTCCACCCAGCTCTCCACCGTGCACACCCACCCGAGGCTGGCCCTTCCTCTTTCTGTGGACTTAGTCCCTCCCCAGGCAGCCCATAGATGTGTCAGAGGGTGAAGCACCACTCAACGACTTGCTCACATCTTTCCTCTCCCTCTCCAGCTGCTCCCTCAACAGCTGCAAGGCCTTCTCCTTCTCGGTGTTCAGGGCAACTTGCTCTCTCTTCTCTGAAGCCTCCATCTCTTCCTTGAGCTGCTCCAGCATTTGCCTGTTTTTCTGCTCCAAGCCAGCCCTCTCGGCCTTCTGTAGAGACTCCACCTCTTCTCTCAGCCTCTGCAGGGAAGCCTCTTGCTCAGCCCTAGGCAGACAGATGGAACGGGGATGGGCCTGTGCACTCTGGGTCACCTCCCTGAGGCTGGGCAGCTCATAGTACACACTCACCTGATTTGGTCCTCATCTGCTTTTGCACTGGACTGGACCTGGGCTCGCAGTTGGGACAGCTTCCGGCTTTCTTCTTCTCTCATCCGAGCCTCCTCCTCCTTGGTGGCTTTCTGCAGCTGCTCCTTCAGGGAACTAAGAAGGATAGGAAAGGAAAGTTTGTTGGAGGGACGACAAAGGTCTTTCCTCTTCTATTCATAAGCCGTGGCTTTCAGGCTCCAATAGCCCTACAGCCTGTCTATGAAGCTTCTCAAATGTTAAAGATGATCCAGCCTCAGCCTCTGGAACCATGCTTCTTCCCTGTGATACCTCTCAGGGTAACAGGGGGGCCACGAACTCTTCTTTGCCATAGGAAGTGGATTGTAGGATGCTTGGTCCCTGAACAGCATTTCTTCTAAAGGCTCTCCTCTGCCTACAGGTTCACCTCGGCATGACATTCACTCAGGGATGAATAGTCACCCCAATCTGACTCTGGTTCCACATTCTTTCACTTCCCATCCTGTAGACTGTTCTTGGCACATCAGATGAGCTGTCATCTCTAAAATCCACCCCACTCTTCCCTGCTCCTTGGCCTTTGTGCTGGTTCCTTTGCCTGGAATTCCCTTTTCTACCTGATAAAACCATATTCCTCATTTAATACCCAGCTCCCTCCTCTCTGGGAAGTCTTTCCAACTCCCTCCCATGACACTTTATATGTGGACATTTCTTATTCCATGCCACTCTGTACCATGTATCATATAGCATCATAATTAATCTTTTGTATTTCTGTTTTCCTTGCAAGTCTGGAAGATTCTCCAGAGAAAGAATCTTGTGTTAGAATGTTATATCTCGGGCCCCAAACATAGTAACTCACATAAAATAGGTGCTCAGTAAACATTTGTTGAATTTGAACAGCATCATCCAGCCCCAGACTATAAGCAAGCTGTGGTTATGCATGTAAGGTATCTTATTCACAGAACAACAGTGACCATTTCATCCTAAGCTGACATCCCCCTACTTCCGCAAACCACAACCTTCTCAGGTAACTCTTCACACAGTCCCCACAAGACCATGGGACATGTGCTGTGCACTCAGGGAATTCAAGCCTAAGAAAAACATGATTCGAAAGACAACTTCTTCAAAAGTTTCTGTAGTGAATTCCAAAGCCAGAAAAAGATTTAACAGTGTTTCCTATTTCAAGTTATCAACACCACTACACTCTTCCATTAGGAAAGATAATCTGAGTTAAGTAGAAACCCTTTCTCTTTATCCTATGACTACATTTTACACATAACAACACAGAATGTTAGAACTGGCAGCGACTTTCAAAGTTAAGTGTAATCTCTTCATTTTATAACTAAGGAAATTAAGAGTCAGCCTCTCTGTCTTCCTGCCCACCTTCTCATTTAAGATACATTTGTTAAAGATCAGCTGGGGCTTCCAGAAATTTCCAAGTGGAAGTTTTCTACCAGGGAGCAGCAGGCCCCACCCCTCACAAAGGCTCAAGTGTACACAGAAACAGGACTCTCATGATGAACTATTTCAAAGACAGCCAGGCAAGGTACTATGCAGAGAAACTGCTTAGTCAAGACTAGCTGAAACTGTGTTGATTTCAACTGAAAATAAAAACAAGTGCTACCGTTTATTGAGCAACTACAGTTGACCTTTGAACAACATGGCTTTGAACTGTATGGGTCCACTTAAACATGGGTTTCACATCCGCAGATTTAACTAACCATGGAGCAAAAACACAGTATTCGAGGGATGCAGAACCGACGTATATGAATGGCTGACTTTTCTGATATGTAGGTTCCACAGGGACAACTACAGAACTTGAGAATACACAAATTCTGGTACATGCAGCAGGTCCTGGAACCGATCCCCTGCATATAGGGAGGGCCGCCTGCACTGTGTTCCAGGCCCTCCCCGAATCAGATACTTTTGCAATGCTAGTCTTTACCACGACCTGCGTGGGCTCTTGCAAGGCCCCTGTGAAGTTAGGGTGCCTGGGGGAGGGACAGAAGCACAGTTAGCCAAGCCCAGGGTGGCCAGGAAGAGGGGAGGAGGCTGAGGGGCTTGCAAGGAGACACTGAGACGTGGCATCTTAAATAAGCTGAGTCACACACGCCCTGTTTGTGTGGGCTCCTGCCTCAATTTTTAGTTGGCTGGAAGAGGAGGATACTGTGGAGAGGTCGGTTCTTTGGGAAGCTCCCTGGCAAGAGACCCAGGAGGACATGATATGAGAATCTGGGCCAGTAGATACTATGTTGGGCTGAGAGAGATTGCCCCTGACCCTCCCAGTACTCAGGTGTTGGTTTTCTGTTTTATTTTCTCTAAATTAAGCATAAATGTTTTATACAGTCTTTGCTAAGTATGATCTAAAAGTAGTTCTCTACCACTCTTGGCTGTTCTCTCTAAGAGGACAAGACTTAGCCTGTAGTTAAATTGCCAAGTAAATGAAATATGGTAACACCTTTGTGTAGCACCTTTCCCACCTTGCACTGTGATAGGTTGCTCATTACCTTCTTGATATCCATTCTTCCTTTTTTCCTTACTAACAGAACCCTGATTTTATTCTATCAGGTAAAGAGGCCAGCTAAAGGACGAAATTCCCAGTCTCCTTTGCAACTAGGAGTAACCAAAGAGATGTAAGCAGAAGTCACTGGGGGAAGTTTAAAGGAGTAGTCTTGATGGGGCCATGGGCATCCCAGTGGACTCCAGGGCGGGAGGAAGATGTTCATCGCTCCCCCACCTCCCTGGGGAGTGTGCCTAAGGGGAAGGACAGGACCTGAGAGACTTCTCTTTCTGCTGGTGAAGCTGCCGGATCTCCTCTTCTTCCTCTTGCCACAGCTTCTCCCGCAGTTGCTGCATCTTCTCTCGCTTTGATTCCAACAGCCGCCTCTGGTCTCGCTCAAGTTCTTGGGCCACTGCCTCTTCCATGGCCTTTAGTGCAGCCTTGGAGAGCTGCTCTGGGGGAGCCACAGGCTCTGTAGATCGCCTACCACGGGTGGGGAACAGCATATCACTAGTTTTAAAATTCATCCACCTGTTAGCATCAAGGTTCATACAGACACAGAACATCACATACAGAATCTTACTGGAGGGCCCACAATCAGGAGTCACACATGCAAATCAGGTCACCCAAGGGCAGACAATAAGATACAGTCAGCATTTATTCTATAGGACAAACCCCACTCTGGCTGTCTAAGACCCTAAGAGCCTAGGGAGAAGGGTGGCCCATGGGACGTTCTCAGTGGACCAGGTAGGCTATAGCCTGAGGTCAAATCCTAAACCTGTGGCTCAAGAGCTGGCAACAGCAGAAAGAGGTGAAGCTCTGACCCTAACGGATTGTTCCTCAGAATGGTTCATGGCCCTGTTTCCATCTCGCCACTAGGGCTCTGCCTGCTGCTTGAGGCTCATGCCAGACTGTTTTCTACCTCCCAAACTGAGCAGAGACCAATGTACATGAACCCAAAGGAGAAGCACCGGCTTGTCTCCTAGCCCTGAGACCTACAATAGTCCATAGAAGCCCAGGAATGGGAAACTGCCCTCCCACACCACCGAGGGAGCCAGGCAGGAGATGTTTCCCTAAGCCAAAAAATGTAGCAAGAGCACAACAGGAGTGTCATGTCCCATACTGCCCATGGGTGCATGTTTTCATCTGCTCCGAGTTAATTCAATGTTTGGAGAAGAGTAAAAGAAATTCAGAGCTAACCTGGATGCATACGTGGGTAGTAAGATAAGGGATAATGGTATTGGTTAAAGAGATATCTATAAAGTAATGAGGACTGTTATTTTTGCCTTTTTTTCTGGTTGTTGAAGGAAATACCCAAACAGAAAACCTGAGAACATTCTGAGTCACAAAAGCATAAGCAGGATATAGTATTTCACTTCCAAGAGTGATTTTGCTAAAGGCCAGTATATGTCTGCATTTCCAGGTCCCTAAATCTTATATTAGAAATTGGTCTCGCCCCACAGCCATCACCATTCCCACACAGTGCTCAGGCTGCTGCAGGCCTGGCACAATGGTGTGGTCGACCTCAGCAGGAACATGTGGACATGACCCAAGTCAAAGAGGACTGGGTGAGAGTTAAACAGGGGAGACAGTCCTCCCTGCTGGGGACTCAGAACCCCCTTCTCCCTCCAGCCCTGACACCGCAGCAGATGGAAGGCACCAGGCGGGATCAGATTAAAAGAGCAGAAGAAAACAAGGACTTGAGAATTCCATTGTAGCCCCTTGAGACCAGAGAAAGAAATACTGATAAGATCTTTCCTTCCCCCTTTCCTAAAATCATTACTCAGACTGGAACCAGTCTTGAGCTATGGCTTCAATTCTCCTCTGCTCCCAATTCCATCTCCCCCTTCCTTCCAAACCCCGGCTTCCTCTCAGTCCCCTGATACAGCCCAACTGATGCAGATGGTAGAGACATGGCTGCCACCTCCTCTGAGAATCCTGCTCTCGGAAAGAGCCTCCCCCTGCAGCTCTCCGCCTCATCAACCCTCCAACTCATTTCCAACCTTGGCTGAAAACATCTTTTTTCCCTGAGATGGTACCTTTTAATGTCTGTCTCCCCTGTGGGCTGCAAACCTATGTGGAACCCCAGGGACAGATGCTGCAGAAAGATGGGGCATCAGACCGTGTGGTAGCATGTGCCCAGGCTACACACACCAGTGAGCTTGCTTGCACACCTGGCACACAGGTACACGGGCTGGTTTCCAGTGGCCTCTCCTCCCTTCCCAGTTTTAACGATCTAGTGTCCCAAACTCCTAGCTTGGGTCCAAGGCAGTAAACAATGCCTAAAAGATCTATGAGATGACTGCGAAGTTGAATACGCCAGAGAAAGAGCCAGGCACAAAAGATATATCCTCTATACTGTATAATTCTCTTCATACAAAGGTGGAGAACTGGAAAAACGAATCTATGGGATAGAAGCCAGGACAGTGGAGACCTGGGGTGGGTGGATTGAGAGGGGCATGAGGAAACTTTCTTGAGGGGCAGAAATGCTCATGGTGTGCACACGTGCACTCACTGAACTGTAAACTTCAGATTTATGTACTTCAATGTATATAAACACCTCAATAAAAAAATTTAAGGGAAAAATAGTGCTTGGTAAAGGAAGGAACATGATTTAGTAGGTTTCTGCTAATGAGCCAGGAGGTACCCCTCATCCACGCTCGTACCTCGGGTCCTGACCAGGAGCACCAGGGACCTAAGCTGACCCCAGGAGAGAATCAGTGGCGGTCGAGTGGATCTCTCAAGGCTTCACACAGGGCACCAAAGATACACTCAATCTCTCCCCACCCCCTGGGCCAGAGCGAGAGCATCTCCTCCCCACTGTCCAAGGGTGAATGGGCACTTAAGCAATCCATACACAGTAGAGGACAGGGATAGACACATAAAACTGGCCCTTACACCTCTGGAGAGACTGGTGGGGTGGGGCTGACCGCCACCTTCTCCTCAGGCTCCTCAGGCTCCTTGGCCTCTTCCTGCCCTGGGCCCAGCTCCTCGGCCTGGTACTGCTGCTCCTTGCCCCTCCTGTGGGTGGCAGGTGGGCTTGGAGCCTGCTCCCTTGATGGCAATAAGGAAGCAACTGTGTTAAAGCCAGTAGGAAAGGGAGAGGCTCAAGATGCACTCTACTCAGGGTCAAAGAGCTGGGATGGGGAACAGGAGAGAGAGCCCTGATGAAGTTCCCCTACCTCAGTTCTCAAATCTCCCTCTCCCCTCCCTGCCTCTTCCCAAGTTGCTGCATTGAAGACCAGAGACTCCTGCCCCACGCGGGAAGCAGGATGGTTACGGCACCCAGGGAGAAGCTCTGCACACAGCAGGTGTTCAATGGCTGCTGCTGACTGAACATCGCTGGTGCTCAGGCTCCCTGGTGAGTCATTCCATCCAGATGAATTCAAAGGCCAGCATTTTTCTCTTGCCTGGGGGACAAAGAACTAACAAATATGCACCGGGCTCTGAACCAGGCTGAGATGCGAAGGTCCTCTAAGCTGGCTTCAGGGAGACCTGTGGTTCCGCACCTCCTTCTCTCCCTGGGCCTAGCACACAGCAGGGCTCCAGCTGGGTTGGCTAAATGACTGGAGGTAGGATGACAACTGGAAGGGAGGGTCCTGCCAGGGAGGGGACTGGGAAATGGCTCTCCCGACAGAAATGGAGCAGCCAGGGTGACAGCAGAGTCTTTGCCCCAGCCTTGGCATGGAGGCATGGAGGCAGCTGAGACAGAAGAGACACTTCCTTGTTCAAGAGTTTCTAAGGTCCTCTAATCAGACTGTGTACCCCAATTTCAGCAGGAGACTGAAGACTAGGAAGCAGCAGATTTCCTCCCGCAGCTCCCGTGGGACACGAAGCAGAACTTCCACTGCTGCTGCTTAGGCTGCAAACCTGCCCTGCTTCCCCCCACCCCCATCCAGGCCCACCCCCATCTCTCAGCAGCAGCGCACACACCAACTACACACTGAGGGGCCATCAACACCTGGGACACTTTCCCCTCATCCTTACCTCTCAAGAGAAAGTGGCGGAGTGGGGCTAGTTACAGAGTCCTCCCCAGGTTCCTCTGCTTCCCTCCGCTCAGGCTGCCCCTCAGGGGCTGGCAGAGACCCTTCTTCAGTGGTCCAGCTATGAAGGGGAATCTGGAGCTGCTCCCCGTGCATAAGTGGAGGAGATAACCTGGTTAGGACAGCCAGAGCAGCAGAGTCAGGCCCCTCCATTTGGACAGCAGGAATAGGATTGGGGGAGTGGTGTGCACACCTAGGTCAATGCCTCCTCCCAGGCTGGCTCCCAGCCCAGCTCCCATACCCACAGAGAGCCGCAGAGGGCACGACAAGCAGACCCGAAGGAAGGGGAGACTCCCTGCTGAGTTCTCCTTTTTGTCTGGACCAAAGTCAAGTTCCCTGGGTCCCTGGGTCTCACAAATATGTCCATTCCCCAAGTTTACTATCATTAGGGCCAGGAAAGGATGGAAGAACTGAGTGGAAAATGGGAAGAAAAAGAGAAGCCAGACTCAAGTGATCAGACTAGAAAATACATGAAGCTGCATTTTCAGGGTCCAGAAAGCTGAACGATGGCCCTCCTTCCCCTTCCAGGGTGGTGGCACTTACCATGTGCTCAGGCCAGAGTCTCTGTCTGCCCTGGCTCACAGCTCTAAACTGTAGTACTGACCCTCCAGCATGATTCCCTCAGACATCTGGCAGGCTATTTCAGCCCTGGCCTGTGACCAGGCACAAACATGGCTTAATCAACCCACTCCAGTGAGGAGGACAGAGCCCTGGACCCACAATGATGCTATTATGTGCACAGAGTTCTACCAAATGCACTCAATGGCACTTTATGTTTTCTTGGTGCAGAATCACACATGCATGAGGGTGTGCATGCACACACACACGCACACACACACACACACACACACACATACAGCCCTTGCAAAGCCATCTAGCCAGTTCATCATTTGCCTTCAGGCAGGAGCACAGTGAGCCATGCCAACCACCCATACCAGGAATTCTGCCCAAGTCCATACCATCCTGAAGGCACACCACACCTCAGGCCCCTGAGCACAGCCTCCCATGTACTGTACCTCTCCGAGGCTTTGGACTCCTTGCTGTGCAGCTCATCTTGGCTGGACTGGCTGTCATCCTTGTCTTGTATTCCTAACCTCTGGGCCTGTAGGCAAGAAGCAGTGGAAAGTGTGTACGAAGGGGTCTGCATTTGGGTTCCTCGGCCCTCCTGCTGACTCCCATACTTAGGAGAAAGCATTGAGAGGTGGCTCTCAAGAGGATGAGGACCATACAGGACCCAGAACAGAAGGCCTGTATACTGTACAATGAAACTTCCCAAGCTTTGGCTAAGCCCCCAGGCTCACAGCTGCTCCAGAGCTGGCTTTGCTGGCCTGGGGAGGAGAAGGCAGATGACCATAGCTACTGTATGCGGAGTCAGAAGCCAGAGGCTGAAGGAGAACACACAAGAAAAAGAAAATCCTGCCTCCTGCTGCTGAAAGTCTCCACTGCCAGTTGCAAAGAGAAAACAGAGATAGCCACGAACACTCCAAATCCACAGAGGGCCGGATCAGCAGTGCCAGCAATATACAGGGCTGCTGAAACTAAGTGGGCAAAATTGGGGGTAGCAGGCAAGTACATTAGAAAGGAAGAATCCTGGAGAGACAGAGTCTTGGTGGAACAAGAGAGAGCTATACCCCAGATGAGAAGGGCACCATCTAGCACCTGGAGGAAGGAAGACAAAGCACTCCTCTGCTTCATTCCAACCCCCACTCCCCACCCCTGGTCCCATCAGTAGACAATGACGCACCCCCTTTCCCAGACAGGGATTACATCATCCACCCAAAAAACATCCAAAATCTCATTTTAAAGTTTGCTGTCTAGGCAAATTTAGCAAGCTGGCTTGAAACAAAAAAAAAAACAAAAACAAAAAACCCTACTTTCAATCACTTCAAGAACTGTCCGCAGGGGTATGGTAGTGTAGTCGGCCTGGGGTCAACCCTTTTGTTCTAGCACTGCCTATCTGGGAAGTCTGTCTCCTCCACTGTAAAATGGGATAGTAAACCACAGTTCACAGGGTTTCCGGTGAGGATTAAATTAGATCATGTAGTAAAGCCCAACTCTTGGCCCAAAGAAGGCATGCCATAAATGTTAGCTCCTCTTCCCACACTCCTCTCCCTCTCCCCCAGCCTAAGGCAAAAAAACAAAAAACAAAAAAAAGGCTTTGCCAGTGCCAGTCCTCATTCTAGGACCTGCACTCCTTCTGTCACACCAACAGGAGCCCCGTCTGTTCTGGGACACATAGGTCAACAGGAGAGGTGGGGAAGGAGACAGCTCACTCCGTCTTGCCCAATGGGGTCCCTAGCCCTGTGCCCATAGCCTCCCACACCTCTCCACTGGCAGCCTGGGCCCGAGCAGCTGTGGCTGACTCTGCCATCTGGATGGGCACGGAAGGGCAGGGCCTGACCTAAAACCCAGCTCCCCCAAATTACGTTAAAAATAGAAATGCTGCCTATGAGTGCCTCCCAGTGCCTGCAGCAGAAGGGCTCCCTGCCAGGGCTGCCACTCCTCATAGCATCAGCCTGGGCAGCGCCCGCAGACAATGGCAGCAGCACACGGCCTGCTCCACCCCACCTTGTTCCCTTTCAGCTTTCAACTCACAACTTGTCTCTCCTACAAACCATACCAACCTCATCCAATGTCTCCCTCTCACACTTCTCAAGGAAAAAAAAAAAGTCGCACAGGCCAACTCCATTTAACAAATTAAAATATAAGATGAGCAACAAAGAAGAGTGATCGTAATAAAAATGTAGGGATTGAACCCTGCAGGAGAAAGGACTCTGGGGCTGTAAGGCAGGTGCCATGAGGAGAAAGGCAGGCAGACAGGAGGGCCAGCTGCAGACCAAGTCTTTCTGTCCATTCCCCTTTATTTTAGAAGTTTCATCTTCTATATTTCTGTGACATTGAACTAGCCTGTTGCCAGAGAAAAGGGAATACCTTGGGAAAATATCCAGATGGAGGGTCCCTTAAGTAGAGTTTTATTTGCTCCCTAGACCTTTTTGCCCCAGAAAAGGAAGCAAAGGAACCAGCTGAGGAAAGCAGCCACGTCAGCATTCTTCAGAAAAGGGAAACAGTGAACACATCCTAAGCCTCTGGCCTGAAACTGCTCCAAAACGCCATTTCCCCATCCTTAACTCAGCTCCGGGGTTTTGTTTTTGTTTAAGATCCAGTCTCCAGTTAAATAAATCTTGGTACATTCATACACCTGAAGGCTATGCAACCAATAAAAAGAATAAGGGAAATCTGTATGAAATAACATAGAAATAAGTCAAGGGACTATTCTCGAATTTAAAAAGCATGTTACCAAGGAGTTTTGGCAGCACACTCCCAATTTTTGTGGGAAGGAAAAAAGATAAGCAAATATAAAATAGATATATGCTCTTCTTTTCTTTTCTTTTCTTTCAGCAGTTGGCTATTATGGGGATCCAAACCCTTGACTCTGGTGTTATAACACCACACACTCTAACCCACTGAGCTACTCAGCCAGTCCCATAAATAAAAGATATTCGCTTGATGTACACTGATAATTTTCTGGAAAGGTAAAGGAAAAATGTTAATGGAAACCACTCATGGTCCCCACCTATGGGAATAAGGTTGCAAGAAGTAAGGAACTTTGGGCCGGCCCAGTGGCGCACTGCTACAGTGCACCGCTTGGGAGCGCGGTGGCGCTCCCACCGAGGGTTCGGATCCCACATACAGACTGGTTCCCGCTCACTGGCTGAGCGAGGTATGGGAGCAACACCGAGGGTTGCGATCCCGTTGCCGGTCCCGGTCCGGTACGGGCGCGACACTGAGGGTTGCGATCCATTGTCGGACACCAAAAAGGAAAAAAAAAAAAAAAAAGAAGTAAGGAACTTTGACCTTCTGTATTGTTTGAAATAATTTTATGATGACTTTTCTAATTTATTATAAAATTCATTATGTTTATAATCAGATGAGCATTGTCTTGTCTATGGTGATGATTTCCAAGGTATATAAGTATGGTAAAACTTATCAAATGGTATACTTTAAATACATGCAATTTATTGTAGGTCAATTATATCTCAATAAGGCTGTAAAAATAATATTTTAACTGAACAAAAACTAGTACAGCTCAGCTCTAAGCCTCTGCCCTGGTCCTGGCCTTGGGAGAGATCTGGAGAATATGGCAAAATGGGCAGGAGCCCACACGAAGAACAAAGGGGACTACATCTATGGTCTGTCTGTTCCACAAAGGGGCTGTTCCTCCAGCTCCACCTCCCTTATCGACCCCTCCATGCCCTGACCACAGGAGTGAGCTAGAGCCTGAGCTCCACAAAGGGCTGTATTTGGTCAGCCAACCTGAGCACCCAGCGTGGCCCACATTCCAGCAGGAGGGGCTTAGGGCTTTCTCTGCCAGGGCAGGTTGCCTCATGGGGGTGCCTCGTGAGAACCAAATCCAAGCCAGGCCCTGCTTCTACTTTATACCAAGTGGCATGACCCAAAAAGGAACTGCTGGCCTCATTAGGTCACAGGCAGATCCTAGAAATCTCCCTTTTTTAAAGCTCCCAAATAATTCTGATATTGGTGACACTTTGAAACCAGAGCAATGGAATCCATCCAATCCCACCAACTCGACAATTCACCTACTGCCCAAGTCACAAATCACCTACTCCAAACCCTTCCTGACTAATCCCACCTGCCGTTGCTTGTGCCTTCACATCCCTCCAGTGCTGTAAACAGGATGACCAAGGTCCAGCAGGGACCTGGTGGCTGGCCAGTGGCCCAGGGAGGCTTTATCAAAAGCCAGAGCTGAAAGAAATATGTAGGGCTAAAATGTAATTGGCCTGAAAACTCTTCCCTGTCTCCAGCATGCATTTCACTACAGGCTCCCAGGCTGGGTTCATAGTAAGCACCTTGTTTTACCCAACAAATTTCCATTTTACCCAAACCAAATGCTCCCTAAATTCACAGAGAACATGTGCCAGAATCATTCTTCTCCTAACCAACCCACAGAGAAGGAAAAAAAAAATGACCTTCTTATCTTGAAGCACCTTAAGGACAGGGTCTTTGAGTCATCTTTGTATCCTACTTGGGTCAGATGTCATCCATGCCTGCACAGAGCTTACATCTGGCAGGGGAGACAGACAAACAACCATAAAACAAAACAAGAAGCACTGAGGGGAACAATCCATCCTGCTTGGAGGAGGTAGCTTCAGAGACGGGCCTCTGAGACCAAGAAAGAGCTTGCCGGGACAAAAGGAAGCAGCTGGGCAGGCAGAGTACTAGCCTGGTGTATGGGGTGAAGACCTGGCTGGTGGGTGGCAGGTGGGCTGAGCATGAGGATGGGCCAGGATGGGAAGAGCCTTGAAATCCGCAATCTACATAGTGCTTTGCATATGAGCAGGTGATCATCTCTCACTTGCTGAATGAATGGATAAACGGATATACATATGGGGAAAAAAATGCTTTAATTCATAGCAGTACCAGAACAGGAATGATCCGAAGCCCCATCAAAGGCACAGTCAGGGCAATACCTTAATGAATTAGGAGGGAAAGAACTTCCAGAAACATACCCTGGGATGGGCGGGGCTCAGCTCTAGGTTATCTCCAAAAGTGACTACCAGGGAAAATGAGGGCCCAGCTCAGCCCACCACCCAGAGAGACTCACCTCCCAATGGGCTCCATCCAGGACTGGGGAAAGCACATCAACATCCAGGTGCTCCAAATTCCGGCTGCGAAAACCAAAGTCCTGCAGACAGTGGAGATGGGAAGGTCAGCTCCGGCTCTGTCACTGCCAGCGCCCACTGCGGCCTCTCCTCCACCTTCCAGAAAGGCACCGACTATGTGCCAGGCACTGTGCTAAACATTTCAACATATACTAACTTAATCTTCAAAATAACACTGTGACTAGTGTGACTAGGTGGGAAGATATGTGATAAAGCAAGTATGGGAAAATGTTCATTGCAGACTCTAGGTGGTATGTGGGTATTCACTGTAAAATTCTTTGCATTTTTCTGTATGTTTGAAATTTTTCATAATATAATCATTGGGAAAAAAATAACCCTATGAGACCGAAATTCTCATCCTCATCTCACAAATGAGGAAGCAGATGGAGAGCACACGTAATTTGCCCAAGTTCACACAGCTGATAAGCAAAGGGGTTGGGGGTCTGATAGGTCCCTGGGCTGACTCCAAAGCCCAAGTTCTTTCCATGACACATGCTGCGAAGTATGTCACTCTCCGGCTGTCTCTTCCTCTTCAGTGTTCACCAGGGAGGGCACCAGAAGAGAGGCAAAAGTGCCCGGAAAACTATGGGCAGCTTGGAAACAAGGCTTGGGGGGCTCTTTCCAGCTCATTCCCACCCTCTACCCATACAGGTGCCCTCTGTACAATGGGGATTAGTTAGCCATGCTTCCTCCACAGACTTCTCTTAGGGACAAGCAGCAAGAGCCCACACTGGCACCAGCTCCTCTCTGCCCTTTGGCTGCAACAGGACCACAACCCCGCCCCCTCCGAGCCTAGACTGCTGCTGGGCTAAGTGAAGGACTGCTACCCAACAGCATGCTAATGGTGACAGTTCTGTCATCAGCCCTGATAAATGGCGCGATGCCCAGACAAGATCTGGTCCTGCTGTCCATGGCCTCCTCCCTTCATTCCCATAGAGAAGAAAAATGCTGATGGGCACATTTCTCCACATGGGTGACTGCTTCAGAAGGACCTGACCACTTATTTCCATGAGTTTTGTGACATGCCTATTCTTCATGGACAATATTAGCCAATAACAATGACTTTTTGCCATAAGCTAGGAAGGCTTATGGGTTTTCTTCTTTTTTTGGTGACATTTTCCTTTCAGTATGACTTCTCCACTTAAGGCAGCTGCCATCTGCCTCCTAAACCCACGGGTCAGTGACAGGCTAGTACACACAGCCCCTCCTAATTCCTCTGCACCCCCACATATCATTATTGCTCATCCCTAACCCTTGCCTACTAATCCCTTCCCTTTGATCTGCCTGCTCCAAACAGATGGAGGATGGCTTCTTGAGGTAATGCACTGCCAAAAAGCACCCCAAACTGTTCCCCTTTGATACAGACCCGGCAAATGAAACCAAGATACAGCAGGCTGTGTGGAAGGTCTAAGACAAAGATGCCATGGATGCTGGCTTTCCGGGACAATGCCTTAACTCGAGAAATGAAACCACAGCATCTCTACTGGCAGAGCTTGGGGACTGGTCCTCGTCACAGATTGGTGATCCCATATACACAAACATACCAGTCCCAAACCTCCTAGATGCATGTAATGTTCCTGGTAGAGCCCAGAGGCAACTCACATGATCTCACAAGCAATTCACACAACAGTAATAGTAATAAGAACTAACATTTATTTAATGTTTATATGCTAATATTTTACATTCTCTACCTTATTTTCTTCTCACAATACACCTATAAAGCAGGTAGTGTTATCCTTAGTTAATGGGCTGAGAAATGAGCTAGACAAGACCCAAGTTTGAGTCCTAACTTCCTCACTCACAAGCTGTGTGATGCCAGGCAAATTATATAGCCCTGGGGGCTCGAAAATCCATGCTCTTAACCACCACTCTGCTGCCACCATCTCAAACTCACCAGGCCAAGGAAGGATTTGGGGTCAGAAGCCATGGTGTCTGAGAGCTGTGGTTCTTTGACATGTTCACCAATCTCCGACTCCTGAGGAGACAGATCCACAGAGAATTCTCCCAAAGCAGAGCACAGAGGGTCAGGGTCACTATCCAGGGAATTTCATTCAGGCCATGGTGACAACATGGGGCTCAGCCCAAACCAAATCCACCTCTTCTTGAAAATGTGAAGGAGTCTTGTGGACCCTGCCTTTCTCCCTGGACATGTGCACCAGCCCCCACCCCAGTGGGGTTCAGCAGCCCAGACGAGTATGGACAAACACACCCTGAATCAGATTAGCAAGGATCTACACATGGAAGGAAAGCCAAGTGTAGGGGAGATGGTTTAAAAGTTGGCAACACAAAAGTTTGATGCTCTCTTAAAAAAAAAAAAAAAACAACACATGAGTATCTTTTCTGGGAAATAGATAAAACCTCTTTAAATGAATTCATGTAATATAATTTTCCCCAAGCTCATCCATGTTGCTGCAAATGGAAGAATTTCATTCTTTTTTATGGCTGAGTAGGATTCCATTATGGATATATACAACATTTTTCTTATCCAGTCATCCATCGATGGACATTTAGGTTGGTTCCATATCAATTGTTTAGGAATGAATGAATGAATAAATTAATTAATTAACTCCTTCACCATCTACCTGGAGAATGAACAGTACTCAGGGTTGGAAAATCTCAAATGCCAAAGGCTTTCCCCACTCAGACCTATTTCTGTCCATTTTGGTCATTGGCCTGGTCTTACCACAGCAACCATTCCAATGTCTTGGGTTGGTTCAGAGAGAGCCCCAGAAATCAGAGAAGAGTCTTCTTGTAACCTAATCTACCTACACTGGGGCAGGAAACTCCAACTGTGGTGCTGCCACCTTCCCCCTCCCCCACCCCACCCCACACAGTATTCTCCTCCCTACAGGAACTCAGACTGCTGCAACTGTGACTGACCTCAAACTGGTGTCAAGAATAGAAGGCAGAGGCAGGCAGGGAGAAGAAGAAGTAAGTAGGAGAAAAGAAGAACATGAATATCCCCAGAGGATGCCAATGGAAAAGAAAATTTCTACCCTGAATTTCTAGTGCTAGCAGGTTTGCAGTTTCATTCAGGATTTTACTTCCTGCTGAGTCTGGGCATATTTGTCACAATTAAGGGTTCTGGCTGATGTTGACAGCCCAGTGCACGGCCTGAAAATGAAGCTCCTGATTCAGTAATAAGGATGTGGGGATAAGAACTTGCACAGGGCTGGAGAGAACAGCACAGGGCTGCAGGTGGCAACTGCCAAAAGGACATAGAGACTTACTTCACTGGCATCTGATTTGCTCTCCTTCTGGGCAGAAGCCTCCTTCTTTGGTTCCTTTGCTGCCTCTTCCTTTCTGGAAACCTCCTCTCCTACATTTTCCAGGTCTTCTGGTGCCTCTGTTTTAGAAGCTTTGGCAGGCTCATCACTGCCAGGGTCCACCCTAGGGGGCATCAGCCTCCTGGAAGCCCCAGGATCACTCTTCCCATTCTCTTCTTCTAGGAACCAGGGACTCACCCCTCTTCCCTGTCGCCCTTTGCCTTCGGTACTGCTCAGGCTGCTGTCTTCATTCTGGCTGAAGAACTGGCCAGGAGTAGAGGGGCCAACAACATATGAATTGAGAGAAATGTCCTTCTTCTCCTCTGGCTGGCTTGTTCTCGGAGACTCCTAGGGAGCAGCAGACCATGTTAGAGAGGAAGACATCAGGAACGTACAAAAGGAGTTTAGAGACACGCTACAAAACAGAGCTGCCATTTCTTGACTTGCACAGGCCAGTGCTTGAGTCCTGACCCCAGTGGTTATCAAATATTCAAATAGTTTTTAAAAACTGATTCCTGGTTCCAGCTCAGATCTAAATCAGAATTTCTACTGTGATTTGGATACACCCAACCTGAGCCCCACACACTAATGGGCTTGGAAATCACTACGCTGAACTGCACAACACTGTCATCACCTATCATGTCCTCGAGTAATAAACCTGTCTCATTCCAGCCCCATTAGCAGAATCATACCACTGCAGACTCAGAAGCCAATATTTATTAAAGATGATGATGGACAACTGTGTGACAGAAAGGTAGCAAAGTCTAGAATTTCTGCTTTCTACTTTTAATAGGCAGTAGGGGAAAAATAACAGGAGGGAGCTCCTTTTCCTAAAGCCTCCTATGTACAAGCTGAGTATCAGCAACCCTAGAAACAGCATCCTCCACCAAAGACTGCCAGTTTGGGTTCTCTGAGAAGCTGATGCCAACATGGGATTAGACATGCAAGAGATTTATTGAAGCAGATGTCCATGAAAGATAAAGGAGGAGGGTAGAGCCTTCAGAACATGAGGCAGGTCTGACACCCATGACAGGAGGGAGGGAAGGAAAAGCCTCAGGCCACAACATGGTCCTGAGAAATTTGGGCAGCCCAGCAGAGAGTCCCCAAGCAGGTTGCCATTAGAGGAGTCCCACACCAGGTAGAAATGGCCCTGCTCTCAGACCCCTGCTGTACACTGTCATTAGGAGGATGCACGGCCCTGGCATGAAGCCAGGTGGATAGAAGGGGCAGCAATGGGAGGCTGTCAATGTAATAAGCTCCCAAAGAAACCCAAGCAGCACAACTTTCCAGTGGCCCCACCCTGCTTTTCACACATAAACCTCATTTTAAAGACAAGTAAAAACCAAAGGCTGCTTCCTTTTAAATTCTTTAGAGTCAGCCAAAAGAGAAAAAGAAAACCCTCCCTTGGAAACGCAGCCAGTGATCTCTCCTGGGCTCAGGCTGAGAAGCCTTCCTTCCAGAAAACATCTGTGCTAACACACTTGGCCTGCCAGGCTGAACAACTTCTGATCAGGGCTTTTTTAGACTTCCTGATTCCCCACCCTGAAGACTCAAATGAGAAGTATGATGACTAGAGAGTCGAGAGACCAAAGGAGAAGCCCTAAACATGGCATTTATTAATGTTCTATTAATGTATCTGTTGAGCCCAAAGATAGGACCATCACCTGCAGATGTGACAGCCTATTGACAAGCTAACCCAAGCTTTCCAAAAGAGGCAGGAAAGCAGAGTAGTTCAGAGCTCAGCTTCGAAGACAGACTGCCTAAGCTCAAATTTTGGCTCCACACTTACAGATATGTTACCTTTGGCTATTTCACTTCTCTGTGTCTCAGTTTCTTTCTCTGAAATACAGGGATATAGTAGTGCCTACCTCATAGAGTTGTTGAGAAGATTAAATTAGTTAACACCCATTAAGTGAGTTAGAGAACTTAGAACTGTGCCTGGCATACTGTCAGTGTCCCATAAATGTTAACTAATTTTATATGATGAGACCCACAAGTTCATTCACTGAGTACCTTCTATGTGCCGAACACTGCTTAAGTGATCCGAATATGAACAAGACACAGATCCTGCCCTCAAGGAATTGAGCTAATATTGAGTAAAGTGAAATGTCCCAGATGGCCCTGATTATGAGCTTTTACTGCCCAAAGCAAAGTGGCATGAAACACAGTGGTGATACTGACACCAGTCCCAAGCCAGGAATAAAAGCAGAGGGTGAAATAGAGAAGAAGTGGGCTTCCCTCATGCTTTTCCAGCACAAAGGCAGGTGCTGCCCATCCTCCCCACATCCCTAACCTCTAGCATGGAATAAATCTGCCAGGGTCACTGGGCTAAGAGAAGGGGGTGAGAAAAGCTCGTTTTCTTCAAGAGAAGCAGCTCCAGACTGAAACCAGGCCTTCTCATCTCCATTTCCCCTAAGATAGCCAGTATTCAGCAGGAGCTCAGTAATCGGTCTGTGGGGCTCAGAGGACTTCAAGAAGGTGGGAGTTTCTTGGGGGTGGGGAAGGGGTGTCTGTCCAGCCAAACCCCCTCAGTCAGCAAGTGGGTCAATCCATCCTGCCCAGGTTCCTCCCAAGATTAAGGAAAAGCTCTCCTGCTTGAAGTTGGGAGTGAAATCTGTCCTCCAGAAGGCTGCCTGGCAACAAACAGACTTTGGACAGAGGAGGTGTCAAACCACAAACAGCACTGTGGACTGCAGGGTAAAGTTCAAGCCTCCTCAAGTGGCCCACAGCCCTTCGGGCCAGCCTGTGCCTGCTTTTCATAGTTCACCTCCAGCCACACCCTGCAGACATCCTCCCCTTCTGCCTGCAGATAAATATCATGCCATTTCACCACTTTGCCATGCATATTCTTAAAATACATATGCACACACTCCACCCTGACAAACTCCCACCGGTCCTCACAGCATCACCTCTTCCAGGAAGCCTTCCTTAATCTCTGGGACAGCTGACCTGAGATGTACCTTCCCCATTCTCTACCATAATAGCTATTCTAATTGCTGATTTCCTTCTCTGTCTCCCTCACCAGATTAGTTCCCTATTGTCCTCGGTACCTAGTTTCTGGCACATAAGAGATGCTTGGTAAAGGGCTGTTGACTGAACTGTTAAAAACAAGTAAGTGTCCTGCAGATACAGTAGCTGAGGCTCCTTTTCCTATGCTACAAAATGGTGATGTAATATTTATTTTTCAAGGTTATACAGGAATTAGACTATATTTGTGATAGGTTCTGGATATGACTGGAGCCATCTTGAATGTGAACAGCACCATTTTATTCACACTCAGCACCAAATGGCCACCAGCCTTTCCCTTAGGAGAAACCTCGTGGTTTCTGAAAAACAGAAACTCCTCCACACCAGCACTAAACCCCTCCCTGATTACATCAGCCTTCCTTACAGTCTATATAAGCTCTCCCACTCCCACACATGGTGCTGTTCTCCATTTTGAGGTCAACCACGGCTGCCCTCCATTTTGAGCCCAGCCCAGCAGATTCTTTTCCTTTAATAAAGCTTGATCGGTACCCAGCCTTCTGGCTCACTTTCTTTCATTTTGGTGCCGAAACCCAGGAAGGGTTCTGGCCAGCATTCTCGGACAATCCCCACATGGGGTGATTGGCCCTCGGCCACCCTTCCCAGACCTGCCGAACCGGGTACCTCTGGGACATTCTCCTTTTGCCGTTTCAGGCCAACACATCCAACATCGGCCTCAACTCATGGTGAGTCAGTGGGTCAGTCCTCTCTCACCACAGGTTCCCCCGACTCGCTCTCTCTCACTACTTCTCGAAGCCCAGGTGCCTGGCCAAAGGAACCCCTCTCATGCCCCCCAGCTACTGGAGGATGCTCCTGTAGCCAGTCAGTGGCTTTTCACTGGAAAAGAAGATGCACAGCAAAGAGGACACTCTTTGTTGGCACTCTTCTTCTCCTAGGACTGCCCATTTTCTTTCTCACCCTCTACATGGGACCCTCACAATCCAAACCTCCACACTCCTCACCCTTGGGCTGTCTCCTGGCCAATTTACCCCTTGGCCTCCAGGGAGACATTAAACCTAAATGTCTCATTTTCTACTGTAATCCATGCTCTATGCCTCCGGGTGGTCTCCTGGACAATTCCTTGGTCTCCAGGGAGACATTAAAACCCAAACACCTTGTTTGACAAACTAGACAATGGATCCTAGTGGCCACAAGATGGCACTCTTGATTTAGATACTCTCAGAGACCTAAACAGCTTTTGTCACCGAAACAGCAAAGTCAGAGAGATTCCTTATGTTCAAGCCTTTTTCTATCTTCAATCACATCCTTCTCTCTCTCAAAACTGTCCTACATCTCAAATTCTCCTAGCTTATTCCCGACCTCCCCTTCTGGACTCAGATCAATCTTTTGATACATCAGACCACTCCGCTCCCCGACCACCACCTTAAAGCTCCAGATCCTTCACCAGCCCCTCCACCTTTTCCCTCTCTTCCTCACACCTGGTCTCGAGATGCTCATCCTCAGCCACACAACCCCTCTCCTTTCTCCCCTTTCGTCAGGTAACAACCCTGCCTCAGCTCCGGCTCCTTTATACCCCCTCCGTGAAGTGGCTGGGACAGAGGGAATTATGCGGGTACACATCCCCTTTTCCTTTCTGATCTCTCCCAAATTGAAAAATGACTGGGATCTTTCCAGTCCGACATGGACACATATCTTAAGGAATTCAGATATTTTGCCCAGTCTTATGATCTTACCTGGCATGATATTTTTATGATCCTCACTACTACTTTGTCCCCCAAGGACAGGGAGCAGGTCTGGATAATGGCCCAACAACAGACAGACGAGGTACATGCTCAAAATAATAGGTAGCCAGTGGGAGCCATTGCTGTACCTCACACAGACCCAAATTGGGACTACCAGGCTGGCCACAGGGATCAGGGTCTCCAGGATAACATGATCACACACTTGATTTACGGACTCCAAAAGGCTACTCACAAATCAGTCAATTATGACAAGCTTAGAGAAATAACACAGAGATCCACTGAAAATTCCAGCGAGTTCCTAACCTGCCTCTCTGAGGCCCTACATAAATATGCATGTATAGACCCAAACTCCCCTGCAGACATGGCCCTCTTACACTCTCATTTCATTACCCAATCAGCCCCCGATATTCGAAAAAAACTAAAAAAACTTGAGGATGGTCCAAATACGACCCAACAAGACCTCTTCAACACAGCTTTCAGGTTTTTAACAATAGGGAGAAAGAGGAGAAGAAAGATCATTACAGAAGAGATCAGGCCAAATACCAGCTCCTGACTAATGCTATTTGTGGTTCACACACTCCAGAGACAGCTGCCTCAAGGGGCAAGCGCCACCCAGGAACT